TACCCAGATTGAACAGAGATTACTACATTTATATATATGTATACATCTCTGATATGAGCTGGTTAATAGAAACAAAGGAGTTAAATCCATTTTTAACATCAATAAGATTGTTTATGTTCGTTCTGTTTACATGTATCGGCATCATTTGGTCAGTAAAGATATCTTTAGGTATTCCGTCTTTGCGTATTGCAGAGTTATCTGCTCTTGTGAGCAGGTATTGATTGTGAAATCATTTGTTTGCGAGAGTAACGTCATCAGTTTTTGAGAAAACGACGTAATTTTCTCACACAAACCAATGACGTAACAATCAATACATGCTCATAAGAGAAGATAACTCTGCAATACGCAAAGACGGAATAACGTCTATCTTAATCTCATCTAATGTATATAAGTTCCTTGTATCTGTGAAGGGACATTACTGTTTATCAGTAATTTTTGTGTCATTATTTCTCAAATGGATTTCACTAACTTTTTATATCATAAATCACAATCTTTGATATTAACTCATTCACCCCTGAAATTTCACAATGGACTATTCAAACCTTTGATTTGGAAGAGTTCAAATGTGTCTTCAGGGGTGAATGGGTTAATTGAAGGTAAATCTGATCTTTTGTTATCGACATATGGACGACAGGATTGCTATAGTCATGTTGTTATACTATTGCGAACAAGTGTAAATATATAGCGAGATTCTTGGATGTACACCACTGCCACTCGAACTATTATAATACTGGTGTATAATATCAAACATAGCGTCCTATATAGATAATGACATTACTCGAAGCTTACAGTATACAATGTTCAAAAATACAGGTAGTTACGAATGTACATTATTTTACTTTTACACGTTCATCCAGTGTTTGTATAGCGTCCTATGTAATGCAATTACTCAAGTACAGTAAATACACTATAGTGTTCAACACTTATACAGCTTAAAAAATACTGGTAATTATACATGTATATTTTACTTTGACACAATTATCCAGTGTTTATATAGCGTCCTATAAAATGAAATTACTCAAGTACAGTAAATACACTATAGTGTTCAACACTTATACAGTTTAAAAAATACTGGTAATTATACATGTATATTTTGCTTTGACACAATTATCCAGTGTTTATATAGCGTCCTATATAATGAAATTACTCAAGTACAGTAAATACACTATATAGTGTTCAACACTTATACAGCTTAAAAAATACAGGTTATTATACATGTATATTTTACTTTGACAGACATTTTCATCCAGTGTTTGTATAGCGTCCTATATATATAATGAAATTGCTCAAGTACAGTAAATACACTATATAGTGTTCAACACTTATACAGCTTAAAAGATACAGGTTATTATACATGTATATTTTACTTTGACAGACATATTCATCCAGTGTTAGTTTGGTCATAGCAACTATGACTTATCAGCCCTGTGATTGGTTGAAAGTTCCAATTGTTTCGATTGTGACGTCATGCCTAGGACAAGTGCATGACGTTACAGACTTACGTACTGGAGTCATAATGACAGCTTTTTAAATTTCAAGGTTGCATGAAAATTATCGTTTTACAATAAATGCCGCAAATCTTGATCACATTGTATGTGATAAAAAGGATCTTACACTCGTTTTCATTTCATATGAAATTTATGAAACTCATCACAAATATTTTATTTTAGCTCGCCAGAGGCTCGCTAAACTGAAAATTTCTTAGTCTCTCGTATGAAATGGAAACTTATGTAAGATCCTATATTTCTTTATTTGAAAATTTAATGTTTGCAGGACATTGATAATATTTCATATCAGAAAAGAGTACCGTATGTCCTTCTGATGCGAATCATATCTGAATGAAACCATATCTTGATCTACACTCAGTTCTGTAAACTACACTCTGCTACGTCACAGTTATGGTCTTAATCAGATTGGTCGAGGAGATTTTCATGAATTCTTTTTGGAAGGATAGAATTAGAAATTAAATAACATTTTGTCACAGCAACCATGTAGTGTTACTTTCTTCAACAGTTACTGGCTTCAATAATATGTTGTGATTATTTCATGAAATAAAATGGTTACCTTCAAGTACAAATATAATAGATCTCACAATGTAAAAACCTATAATAAAATTATTCCCAAAATAGAATATCTCAAAAGTTCTACCAACAACACATACAAAATCTGTCGTATAATCTTTCCCAAAATAGAATATCTTCAGTTCTCAACAGCTACATACACATCATATTATATTGACAAATTCAACAGATCTATTGTAACTCGGAGAACAGCATTCACCTTAACCCTTTCACCCCTATGTAACTTTAGTAGACTCTACCATGTATTGATATGGATGAGTCCATTATGGTCTACAGTGGTGAAAGGGTTGATAATCTGTTGCTGGCAAAATACCTGCTTTTCATTGATTTTAATATAAACATTATTTTGTTTACAACAGTTGTGAAAAAAATATTTCAACTTATATTAATCACTCCTGTTGGCCTCTATGTTAGCACGGGGGGTGGGGGGCATTAACACGGGAGGAAACTGGAGTACCCAGGTGGTCGGGCAGGTGACCTCATACCTTTTCACGTCCGATCGAGGAATCAAACACCAGCCACCTTAGTGAAAGGCAAGTGCGCTATCCACTAAACCACCAGTACTTTAAGCCAGGTATTTTATCAAGAATTTCAACTGATTACTTTTAAAAATCAATTAATCACCTGTTTGATAACTTTGCAAGAACACTGGAGGAGTCAAATGCAATGAAATAATATGAAGGGACCATATACCACAGTAGAGGACTTTAAACTCTGGGTTCAGAGACAATACTTGATATCGTTTCAGTACATGCGAGAATTATTTTTGGATTTCAGCATTTATATACTATATAAACAAAATTAACAAAAGCACCTGTTGCATCAACTTCTCTAGCCAAGGGGTTACGGTATGGTCTACCTACTCTTTGCAGAGATCGTAAGTGAGTGTAACCCATGGAGTACGAGGAGGATGCTGGATAAAGAATGCATAACGAAATATAGATTTGTATACATCAATAATAAATCTGTGATTTGAGTGAAAAATTAAACTGGATGAGTTAAGGTAAAATTATTTCATTTAAAAAGGGTGAACAAATTAAGTTGCTGATTTCCAGAATAACATCCACGACATTGAACACAGTAAAGAAGTTTGAACACCTTTTTTTTCCCTGTTTTGGCAAAAAAAACAAAAAAAATCTCAAGCACAATAGGAGGTAAGGTATTTATACACATGTACAGTCAACCTGTTGTGCACACTTGTACAATTTGGAATTATTTGAAAAAAATATGAATTTTGTATTTTTCTTCAAAACAGACCATGGTAAAGATGTATACGAACTGTATATGGTTTATCAAAATATTTTGACCACTACTGTGGCCCTCCTCATTGACTTATCAGATGTATAATCTTTGAGGAAATTCATTTAAGAAGACACAGGACCTTGTGTCACTTCACCTGACAAGTCTTAGTCCAAACTTTAAGAAGCCTAAAAATGTATACCATTCTGATTATACTATTTTTATTTACCAACAAAGATGTTGGTTCATTCTATTAAACACCAAAATTGGAATAAAGGTCCAAATTTAAAAATTACTTCTGGATTATCTCAAAGGTCAGTTTTTATAAAAGAATAGACAAAGATAAAGATATATTTAAACAATACTATTTGTTCATGACTGTTTTAGAACATTCAACAATAAAGATGATTAAATATGAATGGATTGAATACAGGTCACCTTGTGAACAAAGCTGTGGAAAACAACGTAAAAGATGTAGAAAAGATATTTTATATGAAAATATGTATGTAGCATTATAGCAAAATATCAGTAAAGGATGAATAAGGAACAAAAATGACTTCCTTTTGTTCATTTAGTTGCAGGCCATTAAATAATGTTTATGATAAGAGGTACATATTTTTGGGACTTTTTTGTGCTCATTTTTCAAATTTAACAAGAGGCCCAATGGGCCTGAATCGCTCACCTGGTATTAATCTTACAATTGTAATCTAAAAGTGGACTAAAATACAGCTACAGGCAAAATACCAGTGTTTGATTCAAAAGAATCTATTAAAAGATTTAAACATGTGAAACATTTGACCTTGAAAGTCAAACAAGGACATTTAGTTGAACAGACTTTATAGCCTTTCATGCCAGCATGCTTCTGGTCAAATATCATTACCCTGGACCTTTAGGTTATTCAGAAGTTGTTTAAAGATTTCAACATATTTGACCCCTGTGACCTTGCAAATGGGTGAAGGTCATTCATTTGAACGAACTTGGTAACCCTTCATTCCAGTATGTAACTGACCAAATATCATCACCCTGGTCCTTTTGGTTATTAAGAAGTCGTTTACAGTATTCAACATATTTGAGCCCTGAACAAACTTGGTAGCCCTTTATCCCAGCATGCTACTGGCCTATCATCCTAGGCCTTTTGGTTATTCAGAAGAAGTTGTTTTAAAGGTTTTTAACATTTTCGACCCCTGTGACCTTGAATATAAGTCAAGGTTATTCATTTGAACAAACTTGGTAGCCCTTCATCCGAACATGTTACTGGCAAAATATCACCACCCTAGGCCTCTTGGTTATACAAAAGAAGTCGTTAAAAGGTTTTAACATATTTGACCCCCGTGACCTTGAAAATGGACAATGGTCATTCATTAGGACAAACTCGGTAGTCCTTTATGCCAGCATGCTACTGGCCAAATATCATCATCCTAGGCCTTTTGGTTATTCAGAAGAAGTGGTATTAAAGGTTTTTAACATATTTGACCCCTGTGACCTTGAATAAAAGTCAAGGTCATTCATTTGAACAAACTTCGTAGCCTTTCATCCCAACGTGTTAATGGCCAGATATCATCACCCTAGGGCTTTTGGTTATTCAGAAGAAGTTGTTTTATGGTTTTGAACATATTTGACCCCTCTGACCTTGAATATAAGTCAATGTCATTCATTTGAACAAACTTGGTAGCCCTTCATCCCAGCATACTACTGGCCAAATATCATCACCCTAGGCTTTTTGGTTATTGAAAAGAAGTTGTTAAAAGTAAAATACCGACGCCAGACAGACGACGCGCCAAGGCATTAGCTCACTTGCTCTTGGGGCAGGTGAGCTAAAAATATACAATTATCAAATCACCACAATGTTAGATACAATGTCGAAGTTTACAGGGAACTGACAATGATATACAGATCAAGTCACAATTAACATTGGATTTCGTTGTCCATTTATGAGAAATGAATCAAATCATCAATGTCAAATATAGAAATTATCAAAGATAATTTAAGGTTAAAGGACTTAAAACAAGTGATTAGAAATATGTATAGAATATATATAGAATAGAAACAATGAAGATATTAAACTTGTCGCAACATTTCAAAACCGACTGGTCCCTTTAACATTTTGTCAAGCTATGACTCGGCAAATCACTCACTCAGTCATAGCTTGACAAAGAGACCAGTCAGTCTTGAACTTTTGTGTACGTTTAATATGTTCATTGTTTGTGTATAAAGTAAAAACTTTGCTCTAAAAATATTTCCAAATTGAGGAATCTTGCATTGAGTATTTTTTGAAGTGAAATTATGTAAAACCAAAATCACAATAATTTATGTTTATCCAAAACACTTGTTTGTATAGAGCTTAATAGCTGGGATCCCTCTGAGGATGATGTCACCGGCAGAAACAGACTCACAGCTATACTGTAGAAAATGCATGGACTTTTCTTCTCAAAAACAAAACCTAACATTTGTCACAATATTATTGATTCTTTGTTATGCATCATTTTCACAACAAATACAGCAGCCATGCATTCAATGATGCGTTTGTGTCAATAGAAGTCAAGCTGTGACCTTGTGCCACACACACTGTGATAGCAGGGTTGCCAACCTCTAAGAAGCCCAGTGTGGGAGATCTCCCTCCACTGGGTTTTCCACTGTGTGAGACATTTGATGGTGCCGCAGTGTTGAGATTAGATTTACCCATCAGATAGTCTATATGATGCCACCATTACTGGGTGTTCCATTGTGTGAGACATTTGATTGTGCCGCCGTGTTGAGATTAGATTTACCCATCAGATAGTCTATATGATGCCACCATTACTGGGTGTTCCATTGTGTGAGACTTTTGATGGTGCCGCGGTGTTGAGATTAGATTTACCCATCAGATAGTCTATATGATGCCACCATTACACCAAGTCAATATGGATGTGCCTGGTTCCTGTTTTGTTTGTAATGTGTATAAAATAATTCATGTACCACAACAGAATTCAAATATTTCTAAAAAAGATGATTCCTTGAATCCCGAAGTCATCTCTGCACAAAAATAGTCCCATAAACGAACAATTTGAAAGGTGTATGTTTTACATGAAACATTGGATGCATTGCCGTAACTACAAATCTAGTGAATCTGAAGCTTGATGGCACTGTCCTCAAATCAACATTCTGTGAGAATATGTTCTTTGCAAATCTGAATATGTTTCCATTTTCTGATTGTCCAGAATAAGTATGGAACTCAAAACATCACCCTGTAACAGGTACACGGAGAACTGGCACAATACTGTTATTCTGTCTTTTTGTTTCTAAGGAGATTGGCTATCCAATCCAAGCCCTTCACAATCAGCCATCATTGATGGTCCCATAGTCTGAAAAACCCAACAAGATTTCAGTAAATAAACATGTATGCAATTCCTGAAATGTTTAATCTTTTCAAACCAATATTCTTTTAGTATTTATGAAATGCTATGACTGCAATTTTAACCACAGTTTTTCAGACGGATTGTGGCATGGTAACTTTAATACTGCATTATTGCCCGATTCATATTGATTTTGAGTTGCATGTAAGCAATCATTGCAAATCGCTTTAATTTCTAATAACCCGCGAGGACTGATATAATATTCAACCACTCATTTTGTAAACATACTAGCTGGTAGGGGCGTGGCCCTGATACAGGGTGTTATGGCATCAGGTTCCCGTCGTGCTGCCGATATTGCTCGCAGCCTCGTTTGTTTGGGACTTTCTCCAGCAAAGGGTGTTAAGGCATGGCCGAGAATGGAGGCAAAGTACATGAAACTCAGCAACATCTGTTGGGATAACAAATAGTTGTTATCAGAATTATTTACATTAGTTAATACATTTCTCAAACAGTTACGAAGGCGTTACTTTCTTTCATATCATTATTTCTTGCTTTAAAATAGCTTCATTCTAGTCAAATCACGTTTCCGTACCTTCCCCAAAATATATTAAAGATGTGCTTATAAAATCAATTTGAAATATTGTGTGAAAATTTCCATGTAAAAGAGTTCTAGATTAGGTTTAGGTTTGAAATTATTTAACATCCAATACTATTATGGTGTAAATGTTAACTAGAGTGGAACCCTGTTCCAGTCCATCTCCCACTTTTCTCACAAACTGTATTGTGAAAATCTAATGAAGTTTAAACATGTAAGTGATTTAACCTAAACATTTGTTATTCTCACCTGTAATGACACAAATATGTAATTGTACCACTCGAACGAAAAAACATGTAAGTGATTTAACCTAAACATTTGTTATTCTCACCTGTAATGACACAAATATGTAATTATACCACTCAACGGGAAAACATGTAAGTGATTTAACCTAAAGATTTGTTATTCTCACCTGCAATGACACAAATATGTAATTGTACCACTCGAACGGGAAAACATGTAAGTGATTTAACCTAAACATTTGTTATTCTCACCTGTAATGACACAAATATGTAATTGTACCACTCGAATGGGAAAACATGTAAGTGATTTAACCTAAAGATTTGTTATTCTCACCTGTAATGACACAAATATGTAATTGTACCACTCGAACGGGGAAGTACTGGCTGTCCCTGTAACAGCAAGGTCAAATGTCAAGGTCATTAGTGATACAACATCGGTCCGAAATTCAGAATCAATCATCAGTTTGGATTTCTTTAACATACTGATGCAATAATATTGATGATAATCAGAATATACAATTTAATGTTTCTGACACATTTTAACTTTGAATACATAGATCACTGCATGAAATAAAAAAAACTTATTTGCAGTAAAAAATGGTATTATGTTTTGCTGTTTTGTATACAATTTTGTGTTCTTACTGCCGATTTCTTACTGAAGATATACTTCAACTTAACTGCATGTCCTTACTGTAATAGATCTATACTTACAGCAGTAATAGTACGTGTTCTAGGAAGATGTAATGCAGTGTTTTTTATGTGCTTTATCTTATTAGAATGATTTTCTAACCATTTTTATGTATGTTTCAATAAAACAATGCATGACGTTTTTCCTTATGTTTTCTGTGTATGCTGCTGACCGATTCGTTTGCATTGACATACATTTTCAGAATCAAACAATTCTTACTGAATTACTAGCCAATCACTATTTCATTTACAATTTGTATGCTTATTATAAATAAAATGTACCTCAGAGAAAATGTTTCTGAATTGCAGTGTTAATATATAGTGAAATAATCCCTAGAAGGGGAAAACCTTCTTTGTCAAGATTCTTGACATTTAACCAGTGACTAAGAAATATGGTGCACAGGAGAAGATAACTCTAGGTAAGATTGTAGCATGATGGTCCTGTTCTATTGTATGTAACTTGCATGATTGCCAATTCTTCCTGTTTTGGGAGGAGAATCCTGATTTTGGACCCTAAATTTGACTATTTTTAGTCAACTTTCTAAACTATTCTTATATGGTAAGATTTAATGATTTCATCTGAAAGAACAACTCAAATGATGACATTCTAAAGTGTGCTTTTCACCTAGGGGGCACATATACACCTTTTATTGTTGTTTTTAGTTCTGAGTATGCAGATTCTCACACACAACACAAACTCTATGATATAACAACATTAACACATGTAACAATTTATATACGTAATATCATTGAAATATAACATAATGGATGAAAAAAAAAATGTATTTACCACATAAAGTTGCCGTGGAAACAGAGAAATACAAAAATTTGGTATATAATGCGATGATGAGGCCCGGACTCTCCTCCACTGACTCGCGAATATCCTTCCACGACCCAGGCTGAAAAGAAATGAATGATTTCAAAATGAACGATTTCAACAGAATCTCTCATACATATGTGCATATGAATGACAGGAAAATTACACCAGCATGGTTTTGAATTAGAGTATTGGGATATACCAGAGGTTTTCTGAGGGATTGACTACCATATCTGGCTTAAAATAAGCCCCACCCCTAACGAAAAAAGATTGACCAGAAGTATGGAGGGGGCTTAATTGTGAGTACACCCCCCCTGTTCACAAATGTCCGCCATCTTGGATATACTACTGTTTTGATCTACGACCACACTACATATCATATACATTGTACCAGTTCATAAACTCAAAGTTGGAATTTACTTATCATTGATGAACAAGTGAGGAAACTTTTCTCTCATTCTTTCCAGCAAATGAAGAACAACTGTAGTTATTGAGCGAAAATGCTGATATTCACAGAATTGTTTTGGCTGAAATTTGATGTTGGTCAGGCTCACAGACACAACATCAACTCAATGAAAAATAACTGCATGATGCTGTGTTATTGTGTTTGTTCTGGACCAAATTGTTCAAAGCATTATTATATGAAGGAGAAGTAACTGCAAAAGTTTAATCTGGAATATTTTCCAAAAATACTAAAATTCATAAAAAAGATATTTTTGTGTTGGCAATTTTGCTGAAATAGACACTAAATTGTTTGTCAGTGTGTTCGTACGTGAATATTAAGTACAGCTGATATAACAGTTTAATCAGTAGAATTTTTAGGTTTTCAGGTTTCTTCACATCACGAAGACATTGGATCACCAGTATATACAGTCAGAGCTTCATTTGTAACCAAACAGTATTAAACATATAAATCCCAGTTTACCTTCAATCGACTTGTGACAGTGTACAGTCCTGCAAACAACAAAATGGAGGCAAAGTAGGACTGGACCATTAAGATGCCGTTGACTTTCCGTCCCACCAGTTGCTGTGCCAACTTGACTGGAAATTAAACAGACATTGAACTTAATAGGTATTAATCACTGCAATTTATACTTATGTAAATATTTGTCCTACATAATGAATTTATGCATAAATAGTACATGTAGTAGAAAAATGTGAATGACTTCCAAAGTAAACAATGTGGTATAAAAATTGGAAGCTTCACTACCAAATCAGAAGAATATAAGGGGAGGGGTTCCAATCCCAACACAGCTGAGGCATCACCAGTTTGAGTGGGTGTTTGTTACAGCCGACTAGTTTGAGTGGGTGTTTATTACAGCCGACAAGTTTGAGTGGGTGTTTATTACAGCCGACTAGTTTGAGTGGGTGTTTATTACAGCCGACTAGTTTTGACTCTTAGCAGCTGTGTTAGGGTTCGAATCCCTCACCATATATTTACATATTGGATGACCTTCACCCTGCATACACCTTAATTTGGTATCCATGCACACTCGGAGAGAAGCATCCAACTGATCTACGTATACCTACCTATAACTCATACAACCTTGGGTCTACTACTTTCATCAAATCAAAAGAATTGACGAGTAGTTTATGTGATATTATATCACAATGATACGTATACAAAAATATACCCATATAAACTTTTTTATTAAATTTTTAGTTTTTCAAGAATTTCTGTCATTTAGTGGAGCAAATGAACTAATATACATATATATCCTACAAATTGTAAACAATCTTATTTCGCTGCATTTTAACAGGTAACATTAAGCACACTAATGGATACTCAATACTCTGGGGGTTATGCTCATTTTCGCTCTCTTCACCCCTGAAATATGTCATAGCAAAATGAAAGGCGCAGTGTGCGCCACCTTTGTGGATGACACGAGAAGACTAGTTTGATCCTTTGATGTACATCAAAAGAATCTGTCCGTCATGTTATGGTAAAATTGACTGGCTTTGAAGTCGGGTGTCGCTCCTCTGTAATTTACCCGAGACCAATCAAATAGCTAGCCGTGCATATTCAATTTTTCTATGACATATTCCAGGGGTACAGAGAGCGAAGGTGAGCGTAACTCCTGGAGTATTGAAATTTAACTCCTTGAATTGAGAGTAGAACTATTCCATCTTTGAGAACCGCATACATGCCACATCTAATGAATTGAGCGTAAGACTCACGAAAATTGCTTCAAAAAAGGACCATATTTAGTCTTACCTGAACTAAACATGATGAGGATGAGATTGACAAGCTGTAAAACTATCATGGTGACACAACTCTGAAATACAGGAAATAAGATACAGGTACAATGTGATAATACAGTCATGCTTTGACCAGTCTGTTTAGTAAGCTTACTGCCTGCTTCATCTTTAGACAAGTAAGGTACTTTCGTTTTCATCTCTACTCAAAACTTACATGAAAATACCATGTATAATACTACTCTACACCTATGTACAGTACTCAAAAGTACCATACAAGTACAATTCTTGACTAAGTATCTAAATGTATTACCATGGTAACGACTTATAAACATCATCATTATCACTGAATTATTTATTTATTTTTTCAGAAACACTCACCACCACAATAGCATTGTCATCATCTTTCTTTGACCAGATGTCGATGATGGTCTGGATTAGTAGATTTATTCCCTGAAAAAGACCATTAGACTTTAATTACTACGGAGAGTAAAGGTTGTGGTATTATACTACATATATATTGCACAAACTTTTCCCAGCCAAAAGTGTTCGTAATTTCATTTTGATATAAAATTGTCCATGATTTAAAATTTGGTGATCAATTCTATCTGGCATAGACAAATTTATCAGCTAGAATTTTTATATTTTAGCAGCTAGAAATCTATCATAGTTGTATATATATATGGGGGAGAGCATCGTCGGATACCCACGGTTGATTTCGCTTCGGTACTAAGTGAGTACCGATGCGAAATCAACCGTGGGTATCCGACGATGGGGGTTGAGGGGTTTCAGTGAATCTCAAATCAATCTTAAACGGCTCTGCCGTGAAAGTCTAAGCTGTGCTAGTGATTACATATATATTAGGCATGTAACAATTGTAGTATTTTATTCCACAGATGAAAACAGAACCATGTAAATTAATAAGGATTTGAAATAGATTTCAACGGAGAATATAATTAAATAACATAATATACGTACAGGTAGTAACTAAATGTGAAGGGTGAAATTACCCCTGGACGAAAATTGATTTCATGGGCAAAGGGTGAAAGTTTGACTGGGCGAAGGGTGAAAGATTGACTGGGCGAATGGTGAAAGTTTGACTGGGCGAAGGGTGAAAGTTTGACTGGGCGAAGGGTGAAAGTTTGACTGGGCGAAGGGTGAAAGTTTGACTGGGCGAAGGGTGAAAGTTTGACTGGGCGAAGGGTGAAAGTTTGACTGGGCGAAGGGTGAAAGTTTGACTGGGCGAAGGGTGAAAGTTTGACTGGGCGAAGGGTGAAAGTTTGACTGGGCGAAGGGTGAAAGTTTGACTGGGCGAAGGGTGAAAGTTTGACTGGGCGAAGGGTGAAAGATTGACTGGGTGAATGGTGAAAGTTTGACTGGGCAAAGGGTGAAAGTTTGACTGGGCGAAAGTTTCCTAGTATACAGACAGTATATAATGTCACTTCGCCGGTTGTACAGCAAGTGTACTATAATGACCCAGTATGATGTTGTTGTTTGGTTATAGTTTCTGTAGTTACCATAGTTACCTGTAATAAATGATCTAGTTGCCGTGGTTAACAGAGTACACACCTGTAAGAGCAGGGTAAAGATAATGGTCTTTGTTCCTGTGATTTGTTGAAGCGCTCGCAGACATTTCTGGCAAAATCTCTGTCTCATAGAGCTGTTGATAGTTGTGGTATCCTGTTGACAAAATAATTCTTACAGACATAATTGGTCAATATAAATGCATATTAGCCTTCATTTGATTAAACTGATGGAGATTTTGAAGTGCAACCTAATCTAATTAAGGCAACAGTAAGTAGTTATTACCATTAAGTTTACGTAATTATATTATATACTGCCTTCACACAAACAATTGTACCCCATCCTTATGTGATGCTTCTTAATCTCGCAAAACTGATTCCGACACTTCCCTAGGCCTGTTTGTGATATTTTCTATACATCTGTATCTATATATACACTGAGCATATACATATTGTGACCTTGACCTTGAGCTGTGTTGCTTCATACATGTACAAAAATATTGACAATCATTTCTTGATATTTAATTATATAACCCATTACTTTTTCTTACCTTATATTTCACTGTCCTATATACCTGGATACTGATCTTTGACTTGATCTTGAATTGTCATTAACCTTGACCTTATTTTGCAGGGTGTTCTAAATACTGACTGTGTAATTCTCCTGTGATATGTCATATATATATTGACCTTGACATTATTGAGTGGTATATCAAAAACACTAATCTCTTCATTTTCCAGTGGTTTTTTTTTCTATGTGTTGACCTTAACCTTATCATGTACTATAGAATATCCTTTACATTGACTCTGTAAAGCTCCTGTGATGTGTCATATATATTTTTATATTGACCTTGACATTATCGAGTGGTGTATCCTATAAACTGACCCTTCATTCTCCTGTGATTATTCTATGTATTGACCTTGACCTTATTGCGTAGAGTAACCTATATACTGACCCCGTCATTCTCCTGTAATTATTCTATGTATAGACCTTGACCTTATTGCGTAGAGTATCCTATATTCTTACCCCGTCATTCTCCTGTAATTATTCTATGTATAGACCTTGACCTTATTGTGCAGAGTATCCTATATACTGACCCTGTCATTCTCCTGTGATTATTCTATGTATTGACCTTGACCTTATTATGTAGAGTATCCTATATACTGACCCTGTCATTCTCCTGTGATTATGCTATGTATTGACCTTATTATGTAGAGTATCCTATATACTGACCCTGTCATTCTCCTGTGATGATTCGTTGAGATCTTCCAGGTACTGTTTAAGAGTTTCACTGCTTTCCTCCAGATTTTCCAGCAGCTTCACCGTCTGATAATAGGACAATTGGACACCCTCACGATCAATATCATGTACAGCACGCCTGGAATTATATCAAAAGTTCTTAAATGAAAACACCGGCTCATGGAAAATATGGGTCATTATCAAGGACTATTAGTTCATAATTTTACCCATTTACTTAGAGATATAGTGGATGGTCCTCACAAAGTGGACGAGTCCCATTTACTTAGAGATATAGTGGATGGGTCCTCACAAAGTGGACGAGTCCCATTTACTTAGAGATATAGTGGATGGGTCCTCACAAAGTGGACGAGTCCCATTTTGAAGAGATATAGTGGATGGGTCCTCATAAAGTTGACGAGTTCCAAACGAAAGCATGATTTACTTAGAGAGATGGTGGATGGGTCCTCACAATATTTTTTTTAATTCCTCTGTATGTGCACAAACAAGATATTTATGGACATGAGGATTCTATGCAAGAGAGCTCTTCATTTTTAATCAAAGTTTGAAGATGATGACAAATTTATGAGATTTCAGATACTCAGCAATTATCAAAATTATTCATATATATAAAAATGTGAATTTTATTTATTTTACAACAATTATAAAAACAAGTTACCCATAAATCACTCTTGTTGGCCCAGATGGAAGGGCTCAGAGAGTCTTAATGTGGGAGGAAACCGGAATACCTGGAGAAGACGTCCAACATGGTCAGGCAGGTGCATGACCCCCATACCTTTTACGTCTCATCAGGGAATCAAATCCCGGACCCCTTTGTGAAAGGTGAGTGAGTTATCGACTGCACTACCCGACCACACACTTAGATATGTGGAGGAACATTCAAATGCACAAGCAGTTTTCATGAAACCAGAATGTTTTTTTTCTGCTTTTTTTTTTTGATAAGTGACATATTCCTTTATTTTGGGGAAATTGATGGTTTGATTTTATTGAAGCATCTAAATCCACTTTTCCTCCTTTTTTCTCTCCTTTATTTTAAATGTTATATTGGTAGAATAAGACATCCATAAGGAAAATTAGGAAATGAAAATGTGTTTTACTGGAAGCAAATATTAAAGTGTAGATTTTAAATCTTGAACTTTTTCTTTAAATCATAGTGGGAAAAACTGCCTAAATCCCATTGACAATGTAGCCCAAAATTCTGCCCATTTTATATACCAGCCATACACAGCTGTAAGAGGTGATGCGTCACTATATATAATCTTCAGTATTCTTGTGTCACTGTTAAATTGTGAATGTGTCACCCTATAAAAGGAGCCAAAATCACGCCATATTTCATAATCATTTCACTCCTTTATCATGAGCTGATCATGTTCTGTATGTGTGGTAGATCACATAACATCTCTAGTTTTATTGACTGAATAACGTCAATATAACCTGATAAGTACTGATTGAACTGTCTATACATTGTGTATATAATTATTTGTCCAGTTTTGAATCAGTATCTTGTCAAAGGCTGATATCTGGTGATAACATTCATCAAACGGAATACTGACTTTAATATTCATATACAAACCCTACCGGTAAATGTAAATAAGTCCCTGGACTATAAGTGAGTTAACCTTGAGTATTTATAGTTATAAATATCTTTTTGAACTTTTGGACATCTATTAAAAAAATAACTGAACTGATTTACATAAATGTCTCAGATGTTTTATCAAATAATTGATACTGTATACATATTAACCTATTTTTTAAGTTGCTTCAGTCTGAAGTTAATATATATGTACAAAGATTATTTTTCCTTATGCTTATTTTATCATCTTTGAATCAGCTAAATTTGTTACACATTAATTAATTCTGAAGGGTGGCAATGTTCCTTTCACAATTGAATTTATTTGGATTAATTTTTTTTACATAGTACAGTCTTGCTTTTTGCATGTACAAAGACCTCAATGTATCTAAGTCCTGGGACTTAATGAGACATCCTTAATGCTATTAGTAATAAATATCTTTTTAGAACTTTTGGACATTTTAAACAAAATTAATTGAACTATCTACATAAATCTAATTCCATGGGTGCGACAACATCAATACCCTAGGTCACTGATTCACATTTCCTGGTTGAAACGGTTCAGGTTGCACAGAAATAGAGGTCAGCCTCAATTCAGATCTGCGCCTGTCATTTTCTTTCATGTTCTCCAGATACGCGAAAGGACATTTTTTTTTTTACAATTTATGAGAGAAATCGTAAAAAAACTTGAAATGATTTTTTTTTTAAATGCTGTCAGTTTTTTTTTATAACCAGACTTCGGTGTTCCATTCTGTGTACCGGCGGCAGGCAAGCTAAAATTTCCAAGAAAACATGACTCGCAACTGACGCAAGTAAATTAGCTCTATAAATAGATACACGCGCTGCTGATTCCAAAGAAATACATAAAATGAAAGCTAAATGTAGCCTTTGTCTTATTTTGGGAACAAAAAAATAAACTGTTCCAATGATAATGATTTTCTTGAAAAGGTTATGTGCTCCATTTTGGGTACCCTCTCAGAAGAAAAACGTGAAGCGCAAATTCACTCTTGAACTCTTGAGTGAAACTAATTTGTTTTTACTGCATTAACAATATCTACTAAGTTATTCCCAACGTGCGAGCGCGGACTTACCTGTTGCCTCTTTGTCTAGCCGGAGTATCGGTGCTATAGGTATTTATCAAGGGATTGTCCTCTAAATCCTCGCCTGCATGATCCCACAACAAATCAGACGAGGAAACGTTCGCCATTTTCAAAAGTTTTTCTTAGTAGGTCACATGATACAGATGCTCAATATAGATTTATGTCACGTGTTTGGTACGGGTCCAATATATTGAGATTTTAGTTATTTATTGTTTATTAGTTCTTTCATATATACATTAACAGCACATTTAAATGACCTCATTCACTGTCATGAAATGCTGCATTGAAATTTCTCCATTGTAATCGAAATTACCCCGCGAAAGCATACGTTTTGTTTCTGGCTTGAGGGATGTAACTCTTCCTTTCTTATTGACATTGAAGAGAAACAGGTGAGTCTATTTTCCGCAATTTTTCTTCAATTTGTCATAAATTTGATGACAACACCATTCATATTTAGTGATAATACACCACATTAAGAATGTTATTATCAATCTCCCTTTGGTTCTTCCAAAAAGCTAATTGATGACAACAAATTGAACTGTTTATAATGTTCTGAGTGATGGTATTGAAACAAATGACAAATAACTTAAACCAGGGACGTTTAGTGAAGCATATACAATACCTACACCCATCTTTGTAGCCCAAAAACAAAAGATTCAAATATCCCTACCTCCCTACCGTGACGTAACCCACTCTATATACTGTCCCTGCTTAAACAAAATTTTGGACGAAATTTCAGCTTTTTTGGAGCAGTTTTATTTGCAAATCAGGATCTCTGTAAGTAGGCCTATATGTGGTCAAACCTATAGTCCCTGAACCTTGCTCAACCCTGCAACTTTTAAAAATACAACATGGCCCTGATAACATGTACTAGTCCGAATTATTCTGACGTTTTATCGACTTTTTTCAAGTTTTGACCTGTAATAAAATAAAACCTTGCGAGATCCACATCTCGATAGCTGAGTTCCAATCTTGATTTCTGAAAGGATTATGCTCCCAGTTAATTGAATTAACCTACCTTCCGCCTTTTATTATTTTAACACCTTTAAGTTTAGGCCAAATTATAGCTGTAACAATTTCTCAGGTCCCAGCTGTGGTCCATAACTTTCCCTCCGAGTCCCAGGAGATTAAAACACACTTATGTTTATTTAAATAAGTGTAAATTTGATTTTCACCTGGGACCTATTAGGATCCCGTTTGATCCACCATGCTATATATCTGACAACAGGATGGAGCCAGTGAAAACCTGTATTCATGGAGCTGGCCATAATTTACCGGTCAGTCTGTTGAACATCAATCTTCCTCATTCCGGTGCTGTTCCAATGTATGTTGTGCTGCTTACAAATTACATAACTTTCACATCAATTTGTTTAAACTGAGTAAATGTATGTCAGTTTCCATGGCTACGTTTTTTTGTGTGTTTTTTTTACAAAGATTTACAATAACTACACTTTCTTGCAGGATGTTGTAGACAGAGATTAAGTGAAAGGTTTTATGGAATTGTTGAATATGTTGGTGGTCATATACATGTAAGTATTGCTTAGACCTTTTTCTTTTGGGGCCAAACATTGTCATTGGCTCCATTCCCAATGGAAAATGGTGCTATTATTTCCTGAAATCTCTTTATATTTCCTAATCTCAACAAACAATATTAAAAAAAATTGTATTGTCAGCTGTTTTCAGATGACATTTATAGCAATAGCAAAATCTAAAATGAAATTTAAAATAAGTTTCAGTCCATATTAGCAGATTTGTCATGTGACCAATTAATTGTTTATCGATTTATTAAATAATATAAGTATTACTTTGTTTAACACAAGGTTTATCTATGGATGTGTTTTACCATCAAGCTTACAAAAATGTTCAGTATAGATATAATCAACAATTTGTTATATTCGCCTTCATTATGCGATACCATGTAACCAGATAAACTGTTATAAAATATAGTACAGTATATATCGATCAAAGATATCTGACTGCACAGACAGCAGTATTCATTGTTTATATTTCACAATTGTATTATGTAAATGATTTATGTTTAACAAGAACATTATAATTACTAGTTGGGTATTAGAATCTATATATCTTAAATCATGTTTTTCTTACCCATTATGCATATTACTGCAAATACTGCATAAGTTCAGTCCATATTAGCAGAAAAAGCAGATTTATCATGTGACCAATTAATTGTTCAGCGATTTATTAATAATACAAGTATTATGATCCACTAATAGTTTTCACACTACTTGAGAAAATACTTATTTCCTAGTATGTTCCCATGCCATGATCTATTGATTTGTTATGGGTACTGTCTCATGCTGATGGGAGAGTCAGGATTTGGTTTGGCTTTTCAGTTGACCTTTCAAAACTGTTCCGTTATATATATATATATGTAATATCTATTAAATACTCTAGTCCTCTCGTATAACTACATATACTTTTGTCATATAAAATTATACCAATCGTTATATGGGAACCCAAACTAGGTCCGGACTCCCATAATGATATTTTATGTCTAAAGTAGTTTTCTTACCCATTATTCATACCACTTCGAATACTGTACCCTATTTAAGTCGAGTACACAGACTAATTGTTCATTGATTAACTAATGATATATTTGGTCATAGAGATGCAGAACAAAGAATAGCGATGTATTCAGTTTTTCTTTCGGGGGTAGGGAAGTTGGGGAGGAGGGGGATGAAGGGTTAGGAAAAGGAATTTTTCAAAAAGATCATATGTACATATTGTTATGTCTAGTTTATACATGTATATCCATTTCCTTTTTAATCAATAAAGCAATTATCTTTTCTTGTCCACTTCCGAAATAATATTCATTGTAAAGTTATTTTTCATTATAAATTCACAGTGTTTTCAGATATATGGTAGATCGAAAAGTAGGGAGTGTAAATTGTAGGGGATTGTCCTCTGACCCGATAAAAAGAAGGGACATTTTTAAAATGACAGATGTAGAAAACTTTATGATATTACTTTTTTAATAGATACTCATTTGGAAAATGGAATGGGGGTATGAGGCGTGGTTCAACTCCTTTCAGTCTAGTAGGGGTCTTGCAATTTTATTTTAAAATACTTTTGGGTGTAGATATATATCTATGAAGCATGACTTAAAAGATCTGATTATGAAACATTTTTTTTACTCTTGAAGTTTTTCATCTATTATTGTAAGCAAAGGGAGACTACTCCGTCTTTTTCCACAGGTAAATTATATTTATCCTACTACAAAAAAAATGAAGAATTTGGTCTGTACTCTTACAGTACTAAGAAAAGGGACAAAACTAAAAATAAATGGAACTTTATCACTGAAATAATTAATTAGAAAATGAACTATGATTTACTCTTTCCAAACAATTTTGAAACATATTTCTAAAGATTAATGTACATATAGTAAAATTGTATCTATTTATTACTTCATTATTTATAATTGTATGTAATTTTCTAATAGATGTACTCTTGTAATTGGATTTGGACGTATGTATGTATCACATGTTGTAACAATTGTATATATGATTGAATATATGAAAAAAAAACTAAAAACCCCCATCTAAAATGAAATAATCTTTTTCATTGATTTTGACAGAACAAAACAACCCTCACTTCTGGAATACTAGACGAAATCAATGAAAAAGCAGGCAACTGATATCTGTTTCTTGATCTGATTTCAAATAATAATTCCAACTTACTTTGTAAAACTTTGTTGATGAATTTCTCAAAAATCGTTATTTCCAATTTTGGTGGTAGGACACTGCATCGGTTGTGGTAAACTTATTGAATTTAGAATTGGTTAAAATGACTAAAATTTGGCATTTAGGAAGTCAAAATCATGTATTTATTGTGTTGTATTCAAATATGTACCATGGATTTCAAACAAAATGAAATAGACTATCTCACATTTTCGGGCAGGTGAGCTAATGTCATGGTGCGGTGTCCGTCGTCCGTCCGTCGTTGTCCGTCAACTTTTCCTTTAAACAACGAAGAACGGACAGGCCTAGAGTCATGATATTTGGCTGAAAGCTTTGTTGGTAGGAGCCTGACAAAGGACTACTTTCAAGGTCACATGGGTCAATTGTGTCAATTATTTCAAACGACTTCTTCTGAAGAACTAAAAAGTATAGAATCTTCATATTTGGCTGGTAGCTTCCTGGGTTTAGATCCCGACAAACTTTGAATGAAAACGACCTTGGCCTACTTTCAGGGTCAAACATGTCAAACGTTTCAAACAACTTCTGAAGAAGAATTAAAAGGTATAGAATCTATATATTTGGCTTGTTGCTTCCTGGGATAGAACCAGACAAAATTTGAGAATGAAAATGACCATGACCTAATTTCAAGGTCACAGGGGACAAACATGTCAAATGCTTTAAACAACTTCTTCTGAAGAACTAAAAGGTATAGAATCTTCATATTTGACTGGTGGCTTCCTGGGATAGAGCCTGACAAAGTTTTAGAATGAAAATGATCATGACCTAATTTCAAGGTCACAGGGGTCAAACATGTCAAACGCTTTAAAAGACTTCTCCTGAAGAACTAAAAGGTATAGAATCTTCATATTTGACTGGTGGCTTCCTGGGATAGAGCCTGTCAAAGTTTGAGGATGAAAATGACCTTGACCTACCTATTTTTAAGGTCCCAGGGGTCAAATGTGTCAAACACAAAAGCATAGAATCATACAATAATATTGGCTGGTAGTTTCAACAGATAGAGCCGATAGAGTTTGAGAGTGAAATATTTGTAGTACAAGATAATATTTAATGAGAATATTTTGCTATGACTGCTTAAATATTCAGGTGAACTTGTTGTCTTGTCTAAAAGTGGTTGACTGCAGAACAACCCTGAGGTGCTTATAGATCGACACACAATTCATACATATTTCCAGAAATGAAAAAAAAAGTTAACTCTGAAAATAACAGAGGCTGCACAATATGGTGCTGACTTACATTAATGGTCGGCTGTATCCTGATATAACATTGACTGTCTTAAGATATGGTCGACCAGGTCCATCATCCGATGCACACCTCTCCATGTGTTAATTCTCAAACACACACCAGCTGTTGTCTGTTACAGTCTTGCCTCATACCTTCATGATTAGGAAAGGTTTCTTATCTGTTTTTGGTGAATTTGTTTACACATTCCTCTAGCAATTTTTAATCCCTTAGCTAATGCAAAAAAAAAGAGAAGAGGTTGATAATTGCTTGCTATTGCTTAATTTCCTTTAGGGAACAGGAAAGGCAACATTTTTGCAGGTGGGGAGGGGAGTTGGGGGATTCAGTGCTATACATATGAAAGATCAACTGTATCATTGCATGACATCATAGTGTTTCAAGGCAACATGACCCCTATGAGGGCAACATGATGTTTTATTTCGATGTCATGATTTATCAAATGCAATAAGAGACATGTTATATGGGTGAGAAATATCATATTGTACATAGGAAAACCAAAGTGCTGTTGGGCAGGGATACTTAAAGAAGTTAAGGGGAGGTTACTGTATATAGGGAAAACCACAGTGCAGTGGGACAGGGATGGAGGTTAAGGGGAAGTTACTGTATATAGGAAAAATCATAATGCAGTGGGGCAGGGATCTTTAAGACTGTCAATTTACACTAGATGCCCTTTCTCTGTTTCAGCCTAATACTCTCTTTCCATGTGTGGTCCATTTTGGAACTGTGTCTGTTTCAGGGCATGACTTTTAAGCATCTCTTTGAGCTCTTATTCTATTTAAGATTTGGAGCATGCGAGCTATTAACTACAAACACACCAATTCATTGAAGCTACCCAGTTATTTTGTGCCTTATTTACCGCTTTTTTTTAGATTTTGCATCCCTCTTGATTATCATGTTGCTGAAAATCTGGTTTGATTAAAACCTTAAACAGTACTGGTGCCAGAAGTCTGCGTAAGGTGTGACCTGATGGTCTGTTTAATAATTGTTTGTTGCGATTTTATTTTGTGTGCAAATTAGATCAGCATATCTTGGAGACTTCTTTGCAGATTGTATTGTCAGGTTTTAATTTGAACAACAGACAGTAATCCTAGCATTAGCTATATGTCAAATGCTTGTTTAATTAGAAACTTTCCCGTTGTCATATAGTAACAGGAATTTTAGACCACAGGAATTTTAGATTTTGTTTAAAAGCCATATATAAAGTCCTTTATTTTATATGCATCTGTTGATCACAATTGTTTTGTTTTAGTTATTCTTTCTTCTGAGAATTGCATTTATTTTATTGGTGTATTATTGATGTACAAAGAATGTATAAATATGCATTTGTTTAAATAAAAAAATACCAAAACAACAATATTTTATGTTTATCATTTTCTCTTTCGACATTTGTATCTCTTTTATTGGCATAATATTGATGTACAGGATATGAAAAGGGCATTGATAGTTCAAGCCAACATGGAAATGGCTTGTTTTATTCCTTTCTTGTTTTCTCCAATATTGACTATGGCACAAATGCTCCGATTCCATCAACTTCCTGAAAACTTGAGTACCCATCTCCTGGATCGAGCTGA